CGGTAAAATTATAGCCATTTTACCCAAGCAGAGGCCTTGTTACACATAACTTATCTGCGGTAAAAAATAATTTATCCTGAAACTGAAACATTTTCAAACACATTTTCTAGTCTTCATCTATTTGTTGATATGACATTGCCTACCATGTTGCCTACCATGTTGCCTGACATTGCCTACCATGTTGCCTGACATTGCCTACCATGACATGCCTACTATGTCTTTCTCATAGGCAACATGAATATATTAAAAGCATAGTTAAATACTGTAGGCCTACCTATATATTATTGTAACATATAAATTAAATCAAATAATTTGGTTATATAACAGAGGTTATGCGACTGCACTTACTAGTTTTGTTTATTAGTAATTCAAACCTTGAATAACAAATACAAGAGTTAACTATATATTGTGTTGAACTAAAAAATGTCACGGCTGTAGGCCTACAGCAATCATACTAAACGAAACGAAATATATTTCTGGCTACAAGATATTGTTTGTGACCTGTCATAAAAGTCAACTGTCACAAGCCTTACGTTTTTGCTTTTAGTTTAGTAATACACACGCAGAATGAAACGTGACAAAACTTATGAAGATAAAGATAATCACTATAGGTGCTTGTATAGAGTAATACCCTCAAATACGTAGTAAGATTTAGTAAATTCGCTCATACGGAATATGCCAGCTCATTTGCGAATTACGACCATTAAATTCGTGCAACTAATCGACCTTAATACAATGGAATTGCGGTATATCACCCACTATTTCCTTTATTTAATACACAAACAAAACGGCAATGAAAGATGCAATGTTCGAAAGGGGTTTATCTAACGCTAGGATTCAGTGAACTGCAATTTTGATGGATAGTAAACAATAAATGTCGGCTCATAGCAATTTTAAAGGAAAAATTTGTTCACTCAACAAAATTACAGTAATATTGATATTCAAACAATTAGTTTGTCCTATTTTAAATGACAAATAATTATAAAATATAATGATATCATAATAATAAGTATAACAAATGGTGGCACCATAGAAACCTAATCACCTACTGTCTATTAACTACCTAAGCTAATGAGCAAATACACAGAACCACTAATTTTAAGGCTTTATATTTCTTTTATGTATAATTCTATATTCTATATTTCTTTACTTTCTATGTATATGTACATGTGACATGTATCCAATCCACATCTTAACTATATGTTATATATGTAGGTGCCTACAGGTATGAAAAATAATATAAGCAATTTTATAGGCACACTAACTATATGTGCACGCTACGCCCATCATACGTTGCTAGCAGGTGGTGAATCTAACCCCAGCTGTCCCCATCACTGACCCGTGTTTATGACTGCATGCATTCACGCGTCTGACGACCCTGACAGTTGCATCGCAGCGCTGCTCTAACTCGCCTTCTCTAGCTCAGCCTCTAATTGCTGCAGCCGTCTGATGTTTGCTCTCACTGCATCCAGTGTGACAGACGACGCGTTATACGATCCCTGAAGCGACGGCGACAACGCAGGTACATCGGCTGCAATCGCTAACCCTGCGGTGGCTTCCGCAAGTGTGGAGGCTGAATGCAACAAAATTTCTTTGTCACTATAACATGTTTGACCAAACATTGGGAACAACACCCATCACAATGTGAAAGGTTTACTGTGAGCACAGTAGGAACATAGATCCAGCACCCATGTTCCTGATAAAGGTACATACTGTGATTGCACTGCTACTAAATT